GAGGGGGGTTTGGAACTAGATGATCTTTAAGGTCCCTTCCAACCCAAACTATTCTATGATTCTGTGATTCAAATAATGCATAGTTTCTTCTGTGTTGGGGGAAGGGGGGGGGTTCCAAAACATGATGCTTAGGTAAATTTCTGGCATATATTTATCACTGAAAGAAAATTTGAATTCTCACGTTCCCATCTTCTTTGCAGTACAGTATTCTAAACCAAAACATCGCTGTTGGGATACATTGCATCAAGGCTGCCAAGAGCACAAAAACTTCTGTTTATTTTAGTATCTGGGGCTATCTCAATAACTACCCAAGGAAGAGAGTTTGGTCCCTGACCCATCAAATTATATGTATTTTTAAGCCCAAAAAATATTCTTTTTCTCTCATCCAATCCAGAAAAGGAAAAACAAGGACATGCTTATCTTAAGCGTTACCAGTCCCTTTGATACAGACCATTTGTGGTTGCAAATAAACTGCCCCAAATGGAGCTATTGGCCAAAGTAATACTGGGGCAGTATGCACAGAAGAGTCCTGAATAGTTCAGCTATCTTTGCATTATCCTCCAAATATTATATTGTATCCTCCAAAAATTCTAGTCTACCCCTTATGAGTATTTTATCTAAAACTTCCCTCTAGTTCAAGAATATAATGAATAGCACACTCAAGAATATCTGGAAGTATTATCCCTGCTGCTAAAAGCAATACTTTTCGCTACTAAATAGTTTTCACAAAAGTTTTTACTAAATCCTTTTCCATCTTCTCCTATGTAAAGGAGGATGCTAGAGTTGCAGTTCACAAAGGAATAAGCCCTAAGAAGCCCAACTGATTGTATAAATGATTGCAAGAACCCCTTCATTAATCAAGGCAGAAATTCCCCTTGTGCAGATACTGGGTTAAAGAATGACTGTGTTAAATAATTTTCCCATCCTAGCGCACAGCAGCAGCACAAAGGGTATGGAGACTGGAGTTAGAAAGAGGACAGAACTTCTAGACAAACTTGGGCGTAGCCGAGATCATGCCATGGGTTTCTTTTCAAGCTGTTTCAGCTAATGTTTGCCCTTAATAAATAATGCTTGGAGTGAACATTTTACCTTCCCTTGGGATTTCACCTCTGTATCTTCTAGCAGCAAGTTTCAACACACAGTTTCAGCTAGCTACATAACGCCTGATATCAATCTAGATATCTTTTTAAAGAGCTGTGACCTGGCATGAGGATCACATGTGCTTTATGAAATAAGAGACTTGTCAAAGTGTTCCACCTCTCTCTCATTAAATAACAGTTAGTGTACCACACACAATAGTATGTATCATGACATCCATTTTCTATGTCCTTTTTACCATATTTCTTACCCTCTTATCTGTCACTCAAGACCTGCGAGGCCTGCACATATTTTTTGCTGACTTATACCCCATAAATTGAAAAGCATCCGCATATGAAATGCTTTGTCAGTAAAACTGTTTGGCAGTACAGAGCAAAAGTAAAGTGAGCTGTAAACATGCGTAGTAGATGTATAAAGCAGACCGTGGCAACCAAATGCAGATAAAAAAGCTGAATATTTTTTTCTGGAGATGTCTTAAGATGTTGCTACTTGCCAAATGCAATCAATGTGCAATTTACAGGTAATTGCACATAAAACAAGATTAATGGACATGCAGATGTCAACACTGATTCCACATTATAATGTGGAAGCAGAGCATAATTATTCATTCATTCCAAACCTGTCAGGCTCTGCACAAAACTGCAGTGACTAATAACCAATTTTTGCCTGTTTGTTTTACGTAAAACATATATAGAGAGCAAATCCCCATATCTTAAAGTCCTGTGCAAGATGTTGCCCTACTAAAAGCTTCCAAATTATTTTACTGGATTATTTTAGTTGCTTTGTGACAAAACAAACTCTTGTTTCATTTTTAACAATTCTAGCTAAGCCATTTGCTTTTAGCCCATTACCTATGAAATTAGACTTAAAAATACTATCAGCCATTTCTTGTAGGTGTATGCCAGTTTATTATTGTATTTAGTTTCCTATTTGAGGGGGATTTTTTTTTCTATTCACAATTCTATAAAAGCCATAAGAAATTTGTCAATAAAAACTCACTGTTCCATAGGATATGCAGAGAAGAACTCAGAATTTCAAAATATATCTACAAAAATATTTTTTGTTTGCAGGTATTTTACACAGCATTTTAGCATTAACTACAGAACATTAGAGCAATAGGCCTTTCTGAAGCGAAGGGCCATCCCACTGAAGTTCAAGTTTGGATGCTAACCCAGCAGCATGGTGAATCCTAACCTTAAATTGAATTCCTCCCTGCACGCCAGGATGTGGGATCCCAGAGCACAGCAGGCACAAGCACGATGACATTTGCCTCATTACACAGTGTCGCTGAACTGGAACTTGCACAGTTTGGGTTCAGGAATTCAGCTGATAAAGGTGGGTTCAGATTCCCACCTGAACCATTTGCTCAGCCTTTTTGTATGGCTTCGAAAGAGATCTTTAAAGAAAATGACTGTAACTATACCATCTGGTGCTGTGACCATGTTTGCATTTTTTACAGAGCTTCCTTTAGTATTATGACCTTTTTTTTTTTCCACAGCTGCAAATAATGTTTGAGGTTTTCTTAAAGCAGCCCATGAACATTTTGTTTTCAGCTTCCAGGCAAGTTAAAGAACAAAGGAGAATCGGTTAGGTAATGGCTATGTTTTCTCATGACCAGAGTGCAAACTGATAGATGTGGAATGCTGCTAAGGGAGCACTGCTGGAACTTTTGCAATCACCTCTTTAGCACAAGATTGTATCACAAAGTCAGTTATGATTCAGCAGTCACAGTAAGCAGCTGAAACATCCGCTTAGAATAAGTAAATTATTTAGGAATCAAGCAAGAATCACCTTCTTGCAACAGCACAGCTATAATAGATGATGATGATGATTATACAGTACAGCTTTTAAGTTGCCGTTATAACTTTGTTTTGCTTAATAGATTTATAAATTCATCATTAAAATTAACTAAATCGAGATCTCAAACAGAGCACTTACCAAAAAAAAACTTTAAAGGAATATCTTCTAATCCTTGAATACAAGAAAGTCAAAGTAATTTTTAA